AGGAGAGGAGAGGAAGGAAAGATGGCAAGAGGACTCGAAATGTAGGGAGGGAGGGAGCAAAGTAGGATGATAATGAAGGAGGAGAGGGTAAAGTATGGGGGAAGGGAAGGAGGAGGAGGAGGAGGAGGAGGAGGGAGGAGGGAGGAGGAGGAGGATCCCTGACGCTGGATGGAAGGGTGTGGGTCACAATCCCACGAGAGAAGACTGCTGCTCGTGGCATTTCTGCCCATCACATTATGACATGAGCAGACCTCTCTATGTCCGTGTAAGTTGTTGATGATCTTAATTGTTGATGTCATTCCTTGTTGTCGTCATTTCATTGTGTTGTCTTTCCATGTTGTCATTCGACGTTGTTTGTTATTCTATGTTGTTATTCCATGTTGTTTGTTATTCCATGTTGTTGCCTTCTGGTTGACATTGTTTGTTAACGACATTTCTTGTGATCTAGTCGTTGCGACCTGTGTTATTTCTTCCTTTGGCTGACTATCTTTCCTCCTTTCTCTCTCCTTATTTTCTTTGTTTTCCTCATGTTCTGTCCAATTCCTTGTTGCCTGTGAGCTTTTTCATCTCCGACATGTCGACATTTGATTTGTCTCCATCTCTGTTTCTTTTCATGTGCTTCGCAATCCATGCTGCTGCTCTTGTTCTGACTGCGAGCCTACAAGGTCTGCGGGTTGAAAGCTGCGATTCACATCGATGACAAGGGAACCATCTGGTTGAACTTGAGTCAGGTTCATCAAGCAGACACTTCGTTCTTCCGCTCATTTTCTGATTCTTGTCCTGTCCTGTCTTGTCTTGTCTTTTCTTTTCTTTTCTTGTCTTATCTTGTCTTTTCTTGTCTTGTCTATTCTTGTCTTGTCTTGTCTAGTGTTGTCTAGTCTTGCCTTCATTCTTGCTTTCATTAGTTCTTGTCGTCGTTGCGTTAGCTTGTTCTTCAGCGGTTGTGCATCTGACTTTGTTCTCAGCTGATGAAACTTGTCGGCAAGACGAAGAAGCAGACGATGGACCTTTACGGTGACGACACAGAGCATGACTTATCTTACAACCTTATCTTACAACCTTATCTTACAACCTTATCTTACAACCTTATCTTACAACCTTATCTTACAACCTTATCTTACAATCTTCCTTGATCTTATCGTATATCCTGCTTATCCTCCAGAAGCATTTCTCAACTTGTCTTGTCTTGCCTGTCTTTTCATCATCTCATCTCATCTCATCTCATCTCATCTCATCTCATCTCATCTCATCTCATCTCATCTCATCTCATCTCATCTCATCTCATCTCATCTCATCTCATCATCTCCTCTCGACCTTAGTTATGTATGAGGGTGAGACGAATGAAATCAGTACAACAGGACAAGGAGCTTTTGACCCCAGCAAGCGATCAGACGTGAAACTATTGGACCTCAAGGTTTGAACTTCTTTCAACATCTTCAAAACCTTACGATCTCCTTCTTTCTCTCCCCCACTCCTCCCTCTCCATCTTCCCCTCTTCTCATCTTTTTGTTCTCCTCTTAACTTTCCCCTCCTCCTTTTCGTCCTTTTCTTCTTCTCTCCTCCTCTGCTCTTGCAGGATGGTCCAAAGGCCTCAGCATACGTCTCGGAGAGCAGAGCTCGACAACTGGTCATCCCCTTCATGGTGCCGCCCACCACCACCACCACTTCCTCCTCCTCCTCCTCCTCCCTCCTCCTCCTCCTCCTCCTCCTCCTCCTCTATTCGCTCCTCTCCACTCCTCCCCTCCCATCTCCCTCCTCCTGCTCACAGCACTTCATCGCTGGACGGATCCACTACGGGCCTGACTAGTAGGCACAGACATCAGGCTTGACTTCATCGCCTCGTCCAGCTCCTCCTCCATGTCTGCCACCCTGTCAAACCCCGCAAATTCCCTCCCAGCTCCACTCCACCTGCCATGCCGCCCACACCCGCGTCCAGCACAGGGTTGAGGTTGGCGAAGTACTTGCGGTACAGCCTCGCCTCCTTCTCCCACTGCTCCAGCTGCCCGATGAACGTCAATGTCACGGCCAGTCTCTCGTTTCCCCTCTTCCCCGCTCCCCTCCTTTCCTCTCCTCCTTTCTCACCAGTTTCTTAAACTCTGGATCCTCCTTCCACTGCTCAACCTATTCAACGGTCAGCATCGTCTCCCCCTCCCTGTTCCTCCTCCCCTCTGCTCCTCCTCCCCTCTCCAGCTCCAGCTCCAGCTCCTCACCTCCTTGTTGAACTCTCTCATCTTCTCCGGCCAGACGCGGTTACACAGCGCGTGCAGGGACTTCTGCTCGTGCAGGCCCACCAGAACCTCCAGCTGAGTCAGAAAAGAAGGGGCGCAAACTGAGAGCCTCTTACTCGCTTCATCATCTCGATACCTCCGTCCGAGTGCAGCCAGTCACGAAGCTCGCCCTGGAACCCGAGTGAGGAGACAAGACGGCGAGGGGAAGAGAGGGAGAAGGGGGGGGGAGGGAGGTAGGAGGAGAGGGATAGACAGGAAGAAGAGGGAGATAATACAGGAAGACAGGAGTTGCAGGAGAGCAGGAGTTGTAGGAGAGCAGGAGGAGGGAGAGGGGTGCAGAGCAGCTGGGAAAGTGCTAGGGAGTAGGCAAAGCAGGAGGAGACTTGCCTCCTCGTAGTCGTCATCCTCGGCCGAGTCTTTCTCGGACGAGTGGAACTGAGGGTCTGTAAACTTGTACTTCTTGCCCTGCACATCACAGAGGAGCAGCTGGCGATCGGAATGGAAGTAGCTGTGGGCAGCGTTAGCTTCCTCCTCCTCCTCTTCCCCCGCTCGTCGGTGTCCCCTCCTTCCTCCTGCGGACCTGAAGAGGGAGAGCATGTTGGGAGTGTTCTGCACCGCCTGCTGCCCAGGAACGTACTCATTGTTGTTGAACTGCGGCAGAAGGTCAGTCTCCGTGGAGAGGAGGCCGAGGAGGAGGAGGAGGGAAGGGGGGGGGGGGGAAGGACGGAGGAGGTGGAAGAGTGGATGGAGAGGACAAGGAGGAGATTGATAATGATGATGA